AATAGTAACCTTAATTCTGGGTAGATATTTTGGCAATTGGTATTTTTAATTTTTTTAAATAATGAAACTATTGTTTAATCAGAACAAAAACAATAAAACTAAGTTATTTGTTCATAGGTTTTCTAGTTCAGTCTTTATAAAACAGCCCATTTCTATATTTAGGCAGTTTACGAGCTGTCTGGCCTTCTTAATCTGAGAAAGCAGATTATTTTCTGAAATCCTCACATTTTATCCAGGCTTATCCCTCAATGAACAAGCATATACAGTCTGTTCAGGATTATGATCAGTAAATGAAGTGAAAATCGAAATGAGATAACTATTATATGCTATCTGTCCCTTATATATTTTCCAGGTAACTGTGGTTTCAGTCTTCTTGAAATAAAAAACCAAAGTGGAAATCTTCTAGAGATTAAGCTAACAGGAACAGATCTTTCTTCACAAACCACCAACGTGAAGAGAAGAAAAGTGGCTAAAATCCCTAGTGCTCATTCTGAAAGCTCTAATAATTCTCTAGTACAGTAACCATATTTTATTTCTCAGTGTGAGACATTTGTTACTGAAAATTGCAATGTCTGTATTTCTAGACATTAACAGAAGTTATATGTGATCGTCTAACAACTGTGCATTAAGATTCTTCAAGTGGAATGCCAAGTGTGTGTGTGTAGGGTGACAGAAACCATTCTCCTAGCCTAGACTGCCAAAGGCATCCAGTAGTGCACTTGATTTAAAGTAGTGAAATGAATATTCCCAGGGGAAACATTAGACATCTTGACTGCATTATAGTGTAAATATATGAAAAACAGCAATATCTGAAGGACTAGAGAATTGGAGGAAGGGAACAGTATAGATTTGTTCTGTTTGAAGTTGATTTCTTTTTTTTCACACCAATTATATACACAGATTGTAAAAATCAGAAACATAATCCAAATGTACTAAATTTACTAATCTGTTAAATAATAACTAAATTTCCAGTCATCTAGGATTTTAATAATTTGTGCTGCATTTTGAAAACATAATCCTACAAAATACTACCTCTATTAAATCAAGCTTAAAAGTCATTAAATAGTTTTAAAAATTTATTTAGAGTCTATCTATAATTAAATGGGAAAAAGGTTTAAATAAATTATATTAGCTCAATATTGGATAGTAACCTAGAAAAACATAATCCTTAGATAGTATTAAAAGAATTAAGAATTTTTTTAAGAAAATAGAATGATGTATTCCAGCATTAGCTCACCTGTGAAGAAAATTATAATAGAAAGAGAATTTTCCTTTAATTTTTGCACAGAAAAGGAAAACAATTTTCTAGAACCTATATAATTCAAAACAAAGAAGCAAAACTAATGTTAATGGTAAACAAGCAGCAAGTTGTTTGTTTCTTCACTGGTACAAATCAAATCTTTTTGATTTACTTTTTGGCAAAGTAAAAAGAAATATATAAAAGTAATACACCATTTAATTTATTT